CTCTTGCTTCGAACCCCATTAATAATGAATTTATACTAATATTATAAAGAGGAAAGATTTGTTTGTTTGTTTGTTTCGAATAAGCTCCGAAACTACTGGACCGATTTGAAAAATTATTTTTCCATTAGAAGCCGACATTGTCCCTGATGAACATAGGCTACTTTTTTTTTTTTTTTTTCATGTGTGTTTTAATGTTTCCGAAGCGAAGCGAGTGCGGGTCGCTAATTGTAATACTTTTAAAATAGTGAAGCGATTTGCGTGAAAAACGAAAATTTCAAAATTTTGAATGAGAGTAGTGTTCAATGGAGGCATCGATTTATTGTCTTGAAGCTATATATCGTACGATAACCGTACTATATTCTAGCTATGCTATTATGGTGTATCATCAATTACATTGTAAAGTATAAATAGAATCCGTCCTGTAGTTTTTCGTGAAAGATTAACAAACACAATCACACACTTTTAAATTAACTAGAGGTCGCGCAGTAGTCGAAATTCGATTATAATTAATTGGAATTGTAAGGTACTTCTATAATCACAAATTTCGCCAAGGCTACACTATAAAGAAATATTAATAAAGACAAACAATATTTAATCTATTCTCAATTTGACCACATACGTCAAGAACAAAAGTTTAACAATAAATAGTATGCATGCGTGTGTGCGTCAAATACATGGTATGTAGTGTGTGTAATGTTTTCTTTATTGATTTAATGTACATTTTATGCATTATTTAAAAAAATATTAGCATTGTGCACTCCTTCTCTATATTCTCTATAAGTGTGAGAAATTTCATACTCCTCTGTCCGCGCAATTTTCGTAAAAAGGGGTACAAAGTTTTGGCATAATACGTAGGATTAAAACAAGACTCTAGCTTAGTGACTTTAGATTTTCTTTAAACTTGCAGTTAATTCTCGTTTCGCCTTTGTGAAGAATATGTTATATTTTGTCGTCGTGGCCTAAAGGATAAGACGTCCGGTGCATTCGTGTGTAGCGATGCACCGATGTTCGAATCCCGCAGGCAGATACCAATTTTTCTACTGAAATACGTACTCAACAAATGTTCACGATTGACTTCCACGGTGAAGGAATAACATCGTGTAATAAAAATCAAACCCGCAAAATTTTAATTTGCGTAATCACTAGTGGTAGGACCTCTTGGGAGTCCGCAAGGGTAGGTACCACCACCCCGCCTATTTAAAACTTATATCTCGAGGTGGGTGGCGCATTTACGTTGTAGATGTCTATGTGCTCCAGTAACCACTTAATACTAGGTGGGCTGTGAGCTCGTCCACCCATCTAAGCAATAAAAAAGTATAAAATATATAATATATATCTATGTTTGCAGCCTTTGATTATTATGTCTCGCACTTATAACGAACTGGCAAAGTCGTGAACTAAATTGGATATTTTAACATATAAATTAGCGATGTTTATTGAAAGTTTGTACAGTTAACACCTCAAGTTTCCAGTGAAACAAATGCATATGTTTCAAATACTGTTTGGCGACAGCCAAAGCGCAGAATAGTTTTGCGAGTCCAAGAACAAAAGAGTACTTGTCTATTTGTGATCTACAAGATTTATATGTGGTTTTGCTTGTCATATTCGTTGTTGGCATCTTACGATAAGGGCGTAGATAGTTTGAAATACATTTTACTGAATTTGTTTGGCGTAACTCACAGCGTCGTACACTGTTAATTAAAAAAATGTAAAAGTAAATCTATATCTATATCTATACTAATATTATAAAGAGGAAAGATTTGTTTGTATGTTTGTTTCGAATAGGCTCCGAAACTACTGGACCGATTTGAAAAATTATTTTTCCATTAGAAGCCGACATTGTCCCTGATGAACATAGGCTACTTTTTTTTATTTTTTTTTTATTTATTTTTTTTTGTTTCATGTGTGTTTTAATGTTTCCGAAGCGAAGCGAGGGCGGGTCGCTAGTAAAAATATATTTCAATGATTTATTATTGTGTTTTAGCAGTTTTCGTTTTCACAAGCGACCGTAAATGAATCGACTGTAAAAGTTTTTTTAAATTACGTTGAAGATTCGCGAATACCCAAGTTAATATGCTAGTAAAATGTCATAAAGCCTTTTATCGCTGCAAAGCGGATACGGTTTCAAAGGATGGTACAGTTTTGTTCTAAGACATACTCTTTATAATTTATTATACAACTGGCTGACCCCGCAGACTTTGTAGTGCTTCAATCAATAAATAAAAGACCTAAACTTTTGTATAAAATAAACTTAAACAAAAGGAATCCGTCCGACGGGGGACACATCATAGGAAAAACAAAGTTGTTAATTTTATTTAAGTCCAAGCACTTTCATATTTATCTACCTTTTAAACCTCTGGACCTCCACAAATAATTCAAGACCAAAATTAGCCAAATTGGTCCAGCCACTCTCGAGTTTTAGCGGGACTAACGAACAGCAATTCATTTTTATATATAGACTAGCTGACCCTGTAGACTTTGTAGTGCCTCAATCGATAAATAAAAGACTTAAACTTTATTGAATTCCGAGAATTTTCATATTTATCTACTTTTTAAACCTTCTCTGGACTTCCACAAATAATTCAAGACCAAAATTAGCCAAATCGATCCAGCCGTTCTCGAGTTTTAGCGAGACTAACGAACAGCAATTCGTTTTTATATATATAGATAGATTAAATTGTCGACATCGCATCTCAAAGTGCGAACCACTTAATATCGCTTCCTTAAACCGTTTTCCTATAGCTATAATAGTTGAACAATTTTCGCTGTCGCCTCGAAATTTCACCCTATCCCTATTAATATATCGTTCATATTAGGAAAACGCAACTGCTAAAACACTATGATCCATCTCTTCAAAGTTAGGAGGTCGTTTATTAATTCAATGTGGATCTGCGAACTCGACCCGGATTGGTTCACGATAAGAACTTAAAGCACGTCGCATTAATGTGGTTTCGTAGTATTTAGATACTTTAGTAATTACATTTACATGTAATATTTGCACAAATTGAACATTCACATTTTTATTTAAGACTAGCTGACCCGGCAGACTTCGTAGTGCCTCAATCGATAAATAAAAGACCTAAACTTTTGTATAAAATAAACTTAAAACAAACAAAAGGAATCCGTCCAACGCGGGACACATCAAAGGGAAAACAAAATTGTAATTTTTTTATTTAATTCCGAGTATTTTCATATTTATCTACCTTTTAAACCTCTTCTGGACTTCCACAAATAATTCAAGACCAAAATTAGCCAAATCGGTCCAGCCGTTCTTGAGTTTTAGCGAGACTAACGAACAGCAATTCATTTTTATATATATGGATTTCGCGGAAATGATTACATTTCGATCCAAACAGTATAGTACCCGTTATTCATACCCATATAAGTATTATTCACGTCGTTGGCTGCGGGGTCTGTTCTTATAACAAACTAGAATAGTATATAACACCCCTTGTGAAGGAAAATAAGAAAAGCCTGGAAAAAAAAATGTATACCCGAATAATTATCCTCGTTATACCTCGAATAGAAGTTAAAATTAATATTTTTATAAGAAACTTCGTTCCTATCCGGTGTCCCACGATACCAAACATATTTTTTTCCTTCAAGCAACGTTAGCGGAGTAATTAACTAGTATCTTAAACACTTCACGTCAGATACAAAAATAAAGTTAAATCTAATTAAAACGTAATGAAAAGCCACTTCAAGAGTTAAACAACCATTTAAAATTCAGAAAAAGATTTTTATAAATCGGTCCAGAAATAATTGACAAAATGGATGAACGTACGTAAAAAGAAAACATAAATTCGAACATAAAAACCTCTATTTTTTTTTTGAAGTCAGCTAATAAATTAAAATCGTCATTTTCAAAGTAATCTTTTTTAAGTTCTTGCCAACTATTCATTTACGATCGATAAGAATATTTTCTAATGCTATTTGAAATGTGATTGTATTTCTTCGAGCGAAAACTTGATTTCATATAATACCTCCTCTAGAGGAAGATCAAGGATTTAGATACTATAGTCACAAGCACGATTTGTTGGAAAGAGTATGCCTCGCTGAAGTTAATTTTTTTATTTATTTATTGCATTTACGAGTGATTGCATATCGGTCCCTTTGTTCGAAATGGTAATACCTTGTGAGTGCGTTCGGATACCACCACCCTGCCTATATTTGCCGTGAAGAAGTAATGGGTTTCTGTTTGTAAGGTAAAAAGCTGTAGGGAAACAGTAAATAAAATTGATTGCAGTCATAACATGCGGCTGCGCCCGCAAGCTCCGCTGCTTATTACTTTTTAAGTTCGATCGCGAATAAGCGCTCCGATTAACCAGTTGTGTTATTATCTCCCTTCCGATAACGCCCTGAACCATTATTGACCGCTACCAAAATAACTCCTATAGAGCCTTTGTACTATAAAACTGAGACTTTAAACCAAACTCGTGTATCAAGGTGAGTGACGACATTTACATTGTTGATGCTATTGGGTCTCTTAACACTAGGTAGGTCGTGAACAAGTCCACACAAATTAGCGAAAAAAAAAGAAAAATATAAAAAACAAACATGAATTTTGACACAGATCTTGAGACACGACGTCAAATCTAAATTTACACATTATTTGGTTTAAATCAGTGTACTAATTAAATACGGAACCCCAGCTCATAATGTCGGCGACAGAAGCCACTAATGCTTATCACCTGTCGTTATCAGGCCACATACATCCACTACTTGCATACAGCAACTATCTACACGCATAGTATGTACATTACTAAAAAAAACAATCTCTACATTATGTACAAAAACTTAATTATAATAAAATTTTATTTTTTTCATTTAAAGCATCTTTACAATAATATCTTAGAATTTACATAAAACATATTTTATAATTATTTACACTAAGAATTTTTTAAATCAAATGAATAAGAACGCGGTAAAATATTTTTTAGAGTTGTTAGATTTGAAAAAAATTACAAAAAATATTAAGTTTGTTTATTTTCTTACTTTTTGAACGAGTGTACGTTATACAGACTAGCATTTACTACACTGATCGTAGAGAGATAATTCCCTAAAAGTACTAATTTTAATATTTAGATCACTCACAATTTTCATAAAGCCGTGCTTCGATCGTGAGAAATCTCTTTTCAAAGGCTAAAGTCTATTTAAGATCACTGAACTATAGTAGTAGTAGTAGTAGTAGTAGTAGTAGTAGTAGTAGTAGTAGTAGTAGTAGTAGTAGCAGTAATACTAGTGTTAGTATTAGTAAGAAAGTAGTAGCTTAACGTTCGTCAGCAGAAACCAGGATTGGTGTGTTCAATGACACATCGTTTGCAATATTTCTTGACGGCTCTGTATCCTCTGATGGTGACCGGTGTATCCTGAATATTGAGCTGTGTGAGCCCGCGGCAGTAGTACGCGACTGCTTCTAAGCCATCATCACCGACCAGCTCGCAGCCTCTGAGGGCCAGCTTCTTCAGGTTTGGACAGCATCGTGCTAAAATCTATAAATAAGCGTTGTTTTTGAGAAAACCTTTTTTTTTATTGCTTAGATGGGTGGACCAGCTCACAACCCACCTGATGGTTTTTGGAGCCCATAGACATCTACAACGTAAATGCGCCACCCACCTTGAGATATAAGTTCTAAGGTCTCAGTATAGTTACAACGGCTGCCACGCCCTTCAAACCGAAACGCATTACTGCTTCACGGCAGAAATAGGCAGGGTGGTGGTACCTACCCTCCTGCTTCTCAACCCAAATTTTACTCTTGTCTCTTATCGGTATCGCTTTCTAACTTCCATTCTTTTTCTCCTAAATTCCTTGATGTAGTCAATTATCAGCGAATGACTTAAGGATATCTGGTGTTTAGCGTTTCGTACAAAAATACTATTATAGAATATGGTATTTTTTTAGAAACTGTACGCTCTGTAGTTTCAATTTGATAGTATTCAAACATACTGAACCAGAACAATTTTGCGAGTGTGTCAGTTTTCTCAGGAGATTTATCAAAACAGACTAGTTAATGAACCTTTTAGGCTGAATCTATCACTGTCTAGACACTAAAAGGATTCTCGGAACCGAAAATCCCCTTACCTAGTAGACTTTTAAATGAAAAGACAAGTAACAACATAATCGAAAGATGTTTGTGACTTCATTGTGAAATGTTTCCAAAATAAATTGATTATTTTATTAAGACTATTTTCGTGAATAACTTAAAGTAATGATTAGTACTACTATTTATTTTGTAAAAAAAAACATTGACAACTCACTTGCAGCCCGGCTTCGGAAACGTCAGTAGCACCAAGGTCTAAAGCTCGCAGTCGGGAGCAACCCCTGGCTACAGCTTCCACTCCATCATCGCCCAAAGCTCCACAGCCACGCGCGTTCAGATACCGAAGCTTGTAGCACCGACGGGCCAGAGTACGGATCCCTGAATCCGACACCTGTGGATGACAAACATTATAAAGCTAGTGAGATTCGCAGGGCTTAGTACAAATATTTATGTCTTTATAAATGAGCGTGGGAAGTGAGAGAGAACATTAAAATGCAGCCAGTAACAACGCAAATCTATTGTTGTGCTGGTTTGATTTTTATTACGCAATGTCAAACGGCCGTCTGGTGTAGTGGTAAGTGACATGGTCACTACACAAGAGGGTCGCGGGTTCGAATCCCGCCAAGGGGAGATATTTGTATGGTAAATATAAATGTCTTTTCCAGGGTTATGGATGTGTATTAAATATATGTATGTGTATAATAAAAATCTTACATTTATTTCCGTTATCTGGTACCTGTAACACAAGTTCTTTACGAACTTATCACGGGACTAGTTAACGTGGCGTGATTGTTAGTAAATATTTATATATATATATTTATTTATCCCTTCGTCATGTAACACTTACATAATACTCGTATGTAGGTGTTAAGTATGTATTTTCTTTTGGAAAAATTGTTACCTATCTGATTGTTCGGGCTTGTCGCAGTACTCGATACGAGTACTTTTTTAATTTTTTATTGTTCAGATGTGTGCACGGTGTTAAGTGATTACTAGAGCCCATATATATCTACAATGTAAATCAGCCACCCACCTTGAGATATAAGTTCTAAGGTCTCAGTGTAGTTACATCGGTTGCCCCACCCTTCAAACCGAAGCGCATTACTGCTTCACGGCAGAAATAGGCAGGGTGCTGGTACCTACCCGTGCGGACTCACAAGAGGTCCTACCACCAGTAAAAAAATTACAAGAGTATTTTAACAATGTCTCATTCTTTTGACTGTATATTTTTAGGTTGCCCGCACGTGGATTGGCCGGAGAGGTCCTACCACCATAATAGGTGATGACATTAAAACTCTGCTATTAATAACCCACATCTACAAATTGTGCTTGTTTGATTTTTATTACGCAATATTATCCATTCATCATGTAACACATACATATGTAGGTGTTAAGTATGTACATATTTTCTTTTTTTTTTTTACTTATGTTTACTTTTCGGGATGGTCGCAATACTCGATATGAGTACATTGGGTGTTCTTACCCTTTACAAATAATAATAGATAATATCTGGCAACAAATCAAGCACAGACATCCGGCTCCAAATTAGGATTCTATGTGCTATGGATACCTCAACGAGCTAAAATTTGACCAGAGACTATCCACCAAATGCCTACATAATAGTGTAGCTTCCAAACAGTGAAAGAATTTTTCAAATCGATTCATTAGTTTCGGAGCCTATTCAATACAAACAAACAAACAAATAATTCCTCTTTATAATATTAGTATAGATTATGTAATTTCCTAAACAATTTTAAACAAAAATCTTGTTATAGAAGAACCATCGTCTTACAAGAGGAAATTGGGATTTTTTTTCTTTTCGTGTTAGAATGTGTCGTAAAATAACGTGTTATATGTAGAAGGACTACCTGTAAATACACAAATAGATAATAGACACCCAGACAAAGAGCAAACAAACCTATTCATCACACGAATGTTTACCCACAGTGGGTATCGAACCCACGACCCTCACCCAAGGGTGCTAACATCTGCATCACCCAGCTAATCAAAGCTACGACGACCTAATTACCATGACGGAATGTCTCGCTTAGTTCCTCTATAGCTAAGATCAAAGCACTCAAAATTAAAAACTAAGCGAACCTTTACTGGTCGTAGTACCTAGTAATGCGTTTTGGTTTGAAGGGTGAGGCAGCCGTTGTAACTATACTGAGACCTTGGAACTTATATCTCAAGGTGGGTGGCGCATTTACGTTACAGATGTATATGGGCTCCAGTAACCACTTAAACCCAGGTGGGCTGTGAACTAGTCCACCCATATAAGCAATAAAAAAAAAAAAAAAAAACGTCAAGGAATGTTGCGTTTAGTTCCTCTGTAGCTAAGATCGAAGCACTCAGAAAGAAAAACTGGACGAAAGTCACAAGACGATGTTCATTCGATTCCAAAAATAAATACATTCCAAAACAAAACTCTATTTGTGATCTTAAACATGTTGCCAAATGGAACTAAAAAAGCAGTTTTTTTTATTACATTAATAACTCAAAGCCACTTATTTATTGTATTGGGGTTCTGATTTGTGATGATTTGTATGCTTGTATGCTAATAGCTTAATTAAACATTTTAATTCAGTTATCTCGTAAATATGAAACATTATGCAAACTAAAGCTCCCGGGATTCGCAAAACCTCTTTATACTTGAAACCCTGGAGTAAACCCTTTACTTTGTTCCATTAGTATCACGACGTTCGTGATTAAAACTTTTACCCCGGAAATTAGTAGTTGGAATGTTAATTAACTTTTTTTTTTTAATTCAAATCTCCGTAGACGTCTAATTAAGCACTCAAGTACCATTTCGCTTTTTCCGTCTATTTTTGCTGCTTTTTTTCGCTACGTAGCCGATTGTAGCCTAAGGGGCTATTGCAATTACGTGCGGACCATATCCGGTGCCAGGTTTGAGGAGTGAAACAGCTATTTAATTCAATAGGAGCTTTGAGTTCGTTTCCTTCAGTCGGTGTGATAAAGAACCTTGAGGAATCCAGATTTGAACGCGTATGCTATGAGCTAATCTATACTAATATATAAATCTACAGTGGTTTTTACGAATGTTCCGTTATAACTACTGAACCATGGATCTGATTGACTTGAAACTTGGTATCTATGTAGAAAATACATGTACTTAATGAATAGACTTAATGAATTTATAAGAGTGTTGAACTCCCTACACCAGTTGCGGGGGCGTTAATGATGAGAATTTTTTTGTGTGGGTGAGAAATATTAATGTTAATTTTAAATGCCCAGCGAAGCGGACGGGTACAGCTAGTTATAGTATATAATATAACAGGACTGTAATATACTCGTATATGTGGGAATAATTATGTGAAAGCCATTGGCTGGCCACTTGACAGATAACAGTTGGCGCATGAAGTATAAGACAGACATATTGATGATAGAAGAAAAGACGTCAATTTTTGTGAGCTGACGATTGAATATTTTTAATGGTAGTAGGACCTCTTATGAGTCCGCTCGGGTAGGTAGGTACCGCCACACTGCCTATTTCTGTCGTGAAGTAGTAATACGTTTCGGTTTGAAGGGTGGGGCAGCCACTGTAACTATACTTGAGACCTAGAACTTATATCTCAAGGTGGATGGCGCATTTACGTTATATATGTCTATGGGCTCCCGTAACCACTTAACACCAGGTGGGCTGTGAGCTTGTCCACCCATGTAAGCAATAAATATATATATACAAAGTAACAAAATCGCTAATTTCATTGTGCACCGCGATCCCACATATAACATAACCGGATACAAGGTAATGCTAACGAAAATTGCAGCTATAAAACAATAGAACAGATTTGAATTTATTCATAAAAGTGGAACATTAGAGCGAGAGAGAAAGAGAGAGAGAGAGAGGGACATTAACATTTATTAAAAATGCCTAACTAGAAAAATATGTATATATCACTTAGGAGAAACTCCGTAATTAAATCGTCACTAATCTCAATTTAGCAAAATAGTATTATCTACAAAATAAACAAAAGACGTGGTGAATCGACAATCGTCAAGGAGCTATCGGTATCGGCTACGATCGGGACGGCTTTCGAACGATAAGGCACTCGAGACACGATAATATATCAGCATTTCGAAAGCCTAAAGGGAACGATATTACAACAACACTGTTTTAACACTTATAGTGAGAAAAGTAATAGTTTAAAAAAAAACTAACGAAATACGCTTTTATAGAAAATCCAACTAAAAAATAGAAAATAGTGTAAGAAAAAATGATTTTAGTGTAAAAAAAGGATGGGGTGCATGGTATCAGTAGTTATAAATGTTTTATGAACAGATATGAGTAGAAGGGTTATTTTGATAATATCCTGAAAAGCATTTTGTGGACTTTTAGTTGGATTTTCTATAAAAGCGTATTTTGCTAGTTTTTTTAAACTATTATTTATTTTTCATTTTTTAGTTGAATTTACAATTTTTTCCTTTTTTTTTATATTAAATTGTCATCGGTTCTTAATAAGTATACCAAATTTCGAGTTAATCCGACGTTTTGAAGAGGGTCAAAATCATGTTCAAAGATTCCGTTACATACTAACATACATACGTCTGAAGCTAATAAAAGCGTATTCAAATAGCAAGAGGTTAATACGCGACCTACATACCTCAATCGTTCCAGCTCACAACCCACCTGATGCTACAGTTTTTTTTATTTTTTATTGCTGGGATGGGTGGACGAGCTCACGGCCCACCTGATTTTAATGATGTTTCTGACTTGATGTTTCTAAGGTCTCAGTATAGTTACATAGGCTGCCCCACCCTTCAAACCGAAACGCATTACTGCTTCACGGCATAAATAGGCAGGGTGGTGGTACCTACCCGTGCGGACTCACAAGAGGTCCTACCACAAGAAAACACAAAATTTTGTCAAATTAAAACAGTTCGTCGTATTATTCTCTCACCTGCGTACACTTGGCGACAGAAAGGTAACGTAGGGCTTGACCCAGCTTCGCTAGCTCGTACAGCCCGAAGTCCGTGACCCCGGTACAGTCGGAGACACTAAGCTCTTTGAGAGCACAATACGAAGGAATCCATCTCACTCCGGCATCTGTAACAAGCAAACGACAATTATTGACAAGAGCTTTTTTTTTATTGCTTTGGATGGGTCGACGAATCACAGCCCACCTGGTGTTAAGTGGTTACTGGAGCCCATAGACATCTACAACGTAAATTCGCCACCCACCTTGAGATATAAGTTCTAAGGTCTCAGTATAGATACAACAGTTACCCCACCCTTCAAACCGAAACGCATTACTGCTTCACGGCAGAAATAGGCAGGGGGGTGACACCTACGCGCGCGGACTCACAAGAGGTCCTACCACCATTAATTACGCAAATTATAATTTTGCGGGTTTGATTTTTATTGCACGATGTTATTCCTTCACCGTGGAAGTCAATCGTGAACATTGTTGAGTACGTATTTCATTAGAAAAATTGGTACCCGCCTGAGATTCGAACACCGGTAATGTAATGCGTTTCGGTTTGAACCATACTAAAACCTTAGAACTTATCTCAAGGTGGGTGGCGCATCTACGTTGTATATGTCTATGGGCTCCAGTAACCACTTAACACCAGGTAGGATGTGAGCTCGTCCATTTATATAGGAAAAAAAAGGAAATAAACGTAGGTACGTAGGAATAATAGTTTTTTTTTTTTTTAATTCGAGTAAATAAAATTCATTTGTTTATTTGTAAGCATCAGAGAAGAGTTAGTTACGTGTGCGCCGTCTCGAGATAGCAGGTCTGCTGAGGATTATGTAAATGTTGTTGTTAGGTAGAGGGATTCGAAGAGAAAAGCTGTTTCTTGGAATTTTAATTATTTCGAACGTAATTAGCCGGGAGCCGCCTTGTTAGAATTAATGATTAGATAATTCCATTAATTTATTAACTACTAGAGGTCCCGCAGTAGTCGAAATTCGACTATAATTAATTGGAATTGTAAGTTTGTACACTATTATGCTTGTATTTTATACTTCTATAATCACAAATTTCGCCAAGACTACACTTTAAAAAATATTAACAAAGACAAACAATACTTAATCTATTCTCAATTTGACAACAGACGTCAAGAACAAAAGTTTGACAGTAAATAGAATGCATGCATGTGTGCGTCAAATACATGCAAATAAATACATCATATGTAGTGTATGTAATGTTTTCTTTATTTATTTAATGTATCTTTTATGCATTATTTAAAAAAAATATTAGCACTTCTTCTCTATATTCTCTATAAGTGTGGAAAATTTCATACTCTTCCGTCCGCGCAATTTTCGTAAAAAGGGATACAAAGTTTTTGCTTCACGTATTAATATATAGATGTTCATATTTATATTCATTCTGTTTACTTTGTAGAATTAGGACCTTGTATGGCTGAAGCACTACGTCGAAATCACAAAGAGAAAAATGTATTAAAATATCTAATAAACAACAGTGGGATAATTAGTGGTCGTGTTTCTTAAATCGATCCTTCCAGACTACGTTGTACAAAGAAATGATTTAATTGACATTACTATTTTCTATGATTATCTAAACATAAAACGACTATTTCTAATCATTTATTGTATAACTATACAGGAAACGACTATTTTCAATCATTTCGAGGGGGAGTAGGAGATATATCTTTGTAAATAAAGGTACATTTTAATTGGTATTAGTATCAACAATTCGATGTTTTCATTGAACTTCAATTAAGTTTACCGCATTAAAACAGCTGAAGAAGTTTTTTGTTATGTTATATTTTACAAATTTTAAATTTTAAATGGCTCTCCTGTAAAATGGCTAAATGTCGCTTTAACCAAATAACCTCTTTCACCCTTCGATTTATTATGTAACTTGCCAGAAAAAGGCCAACGGTTTAGCATTTTCTAACTAGTCAGAAAATGTCAATTTGCAATGATTTATTCTTCATATCTACCTAGGCCAAAAACTCACGAGCCACCTGCTTTTGAGTGACCAGTTTCAGCCCAAAGTCAACACAAAATGGATTCCGCAAGCCATTTTGAACACAAGAGGTTGGAGTTTCAATATTTTCAAACTGATCTGAGATCGGACGACATTATACATTGATTCTGATTATTCTATACATTGACCTCATCCCTCACGGCGCTAAGAGGCATTCACATTCCGTCGTGTATAGGTTTCAGTGATCATACACTACGAGCTAAGCCGTGAACTCTCCAATTACAAGCATATTCCTGGCGTCTGTCGTTTGGCCACGACCAGCGAACGAAACTACATCGACCATCCGACTAGGACCTAATGAACGCATGCAGTGGCCAAAATTGCAAGTAAATTTTATCCGTAGAAGGAGGAAAAGATCTACCGAAAAACACATGCATGGAGTGTGTGAACACTAACCCTAGCAAGAGCAGCGCTTCGCAGAATCTACCACCGGGTCGAAAACGCGACCCACTGAGAAAATCCAGCGAGAAACTCAGTGTTCTGTATCTATGGGTTAGTTTACTCGCCGAACCCTTCGTCGCAAGCGACGGATTCGACGAGAATGGTGACCTGTGCTTGAGGTACCTAAAAGCACCGATACTGGATCGAGAGGGTCCAAGCTGTCTTTACGTTACATAACATGTCTGAACGGTCGAAGGATCAGTTGAACGGTCGTTTGTTCTATTGTCTTCTTATATGAGAACGGTCAATTCGTTCTTTTTCGTCTTTTTGTCCGTCTTTTCCGAAGTCAACAAATGTACTGCGTGCCGCTGGTCACGTACGCCCTCGTTCCATTTCTTTTCGAATTCTTGTCAAGTCTCTGTCTTAGTCTGTGTCTATGTCTAGTCATTGTAGGTCTTATGTCCTGTCAAAGAGGTTGCACGCCATGACAATGTCACTTGAGAAATGTGGGACTCTTGTAATTTTTTTACCTGTGACTAGACTACATCTCCGCAAATACAAGTACTGGAGAGACGGACAGGTGTGGAGCAAAGCGCAGAGGCCAGCGTCGGTCACCGACCCGCAGTCAGTGAGGTCAATGTACTCGACTGGAGGCCTCCGATCGCCCAGTCGGGTCTCAAGACAGGACCACTCCGGCCAATCCACGTGCGGGCAACCTAAAAATATACAGTCAAAAGAATGAGACATTGTTAAAATACTCTTGTATTTTTTTTTTACTCGTGGTAGGACCTCTTGTGAGTCCACACGGGTAGGTGCCGCTACCCTGCCTATTTCTGCTGTGAAGCAGTAATGCGTTTCGGTTTGAAGGGTGGGGCAGCCGTTGTAACTATACTGAGACCTTAGAACTTATATCTCAAGGTGGGTGGCACATTTACGTTGTAGATGTCTATGAGCTCCAGTAACCACTTAACACCAGGTGGGCTGTGAGCTCGTCTACCCATCCAAGCAATTTAAAAAAAAAGGTCTGAAATTTGATTTTAATGGTGGCATATTGTAAAGCATCGCGGGTAGGTATCAATCACGCTTCTGCTGCGAAGTAATAATGCGTTCTGTTTTGAAAGGAAATTCATCTAATATATAAAATTCTCGTGTCACAGTTTTCGTTGCCATACTCCTCCGAAACGGCTTGACCGATTTTGATGAAATTTTTTGTGCTTATCCGGTATCTATGAGAATCGGCCAACATCTATTTTTCATCCCCCTAAATGTTAGGAGTAGTCCACCCCTAAATTGTCTAAAAAATTAGACAAATTTTTTAATTTCTATTTTTTTATGATACAACATACAAAAATACATACAATCCTCAATTTTCACCCTTCTACGATCAACCCTTATTTTTTATTTGCTAATTAAAAACTAAATTTTTTTGCAAGAATTTTGTTTTTATTTTGTCATGACTTAGAATTAAAAAAATCATATTACTCTCAATTTTCACTCTTATACGATCAACCCCTATTTTTTCATCCCGATTTTTATTTTTTTTATTCTATGCACAGATCCGCAATAAGGTTNCGATGCACCGGTGTTCGAATCCCGCAGGCGGGTACCAATTTTTCTAATGAAATACGTACTTAACAAATGTTCACGATTGACTTCCACGGTGAAGGAATAACATCGTGTAATAAAAATCAAACCCGCAAAATTATAATTTGCGTAATCACTGGTGGTAGGACCTCTTGTGAGTCCGCACGGGTAGGTACCACCACCCCGCTTATTTCTGTCGTGAAGCAGTAATGCATTCCGGTTTGAAGGGTGGGGTAGCCGTTGTAACTATACTGAGACCTTAGAACTTATATCTCAAGGTGGGTGGCGCATTTACATTGTAGATGTCTATGGGCTCCAGTAACCACTTAACACCAGGTGGGCTGTGAGCTCGTCCACCCATCTAATCAATAAAAAAAAATAAAAAAAATTGTCATCACCGTTTTTTATTTAGAGTGATGAGACAAAGTTTACATTACTTACACAAATATGTAAGCAATGTAAACTTTAACCTATTTAGGTTAACCTATTTAGGTTAACCTACTTAGGTTAACCTATTTAGGTTAAAGTTATTTTTGGTTTTCATTTGCGTCCATGCGAACCAAAATTATTATTATTAATATTAAAATAAACCATTGATTGAGACTGTTTGGCAGTGACGCGAGGAGTGAAGTTGTGTGATTTGTTTCATTCTGTCAGATTTAAATGCGTAATAACGGTGATTTATTAACTGTTTAGTATCTGTGAAAGTGCACAAATGTAGGAAAATAAAACAAAGCCGCTGGAGGTAGTTTCTGGGAATCTAGTCTATCTAACCTATTTAGGTTAAAGTTATTAAGTGATTAAGGTTATAGCAGCTTCAGCGGAATATGGGGAAGCACTTTGAAAAAAGAGTCATGTACAACACAAACATATATTGACGACCGTCTGGTGTAGTGGTAAGTGACATGGTAGTTTGTGCATTAGCCAGCGTCAAGTAATAAGATTTTTATAATTCGCTGTTTTAATTATTTACAGTCTATGAAAAGTAAATGATTAAAAACGAATTAAATTTACAAATGAAATGATATGTGACGAATATAATTTCAGTAAAATTGTGAACATTTACTGAGACTTTTCAGTAGACTTTTTGGAGGATCCCGAGAAGTTACGTCCAGCGGCTTTGTTTTATTTTCCTACATTTGTGCACTTTCACAGATACTAAACAGTTAATAAATCACCGTTATTACGCATTTAAATCTGACACTAAAACAAATCACACAACTTCACTCCTCGCGTCACTGCCAAAAAGTCTCAATCAATGGCTTATTTTAGTATTAATAATAATAAGTTTGGTTCGCATCGACGCAAAAGAAAACCAAAAATAATCGCAATTTCAACTACAAAAAAAAACAATTATACTTAAAAATCCATCACCGGGGCTCTTGAATCTCGAGTAGGATTCACTAATGGCGACGTAAAATCGTCAACTTTACCAATTAATATTTCGGGATGGCTTACAAACTTGGTGTAGAATTGGCTTAGTCAAAGAAATTGCTTTTATTATTTTATTTCAGTAAGATAAGAATTATGTATGTAGGAACAAAACGGTTTTGAATTTGACAGATGACAGATGATAGAACGGAGGGCGGAATGCAAAGGCAAAGGTGTTAAGCTGTTACGGTAACTACATTTAATTTTAATTTATGGTGCTCATCTATTTAAAAGTCGAAAATAAGGTCAGTGTTTAACTTTGACAACGTATTTGATTTCAATCCCACAATTGTTTTTTTCACCTCCATTGGGACACCGCGGTTAAATTCTTTCCCTAGATAATTCTTATCTACCTGGTGATTTTAATTGTGTATTTAATTATTAACATTTGCCTTTATTTTATATTTGTGTATAATAAAACAGTAATACTTTAAAGAGAGCTTAATTGAGGCTTCCAGATACTTCAATTAAATAAATAGAAATAGGCCCACCCTTTCACTTACCATAACATAACTAGTTAGTTATTTGGGAAACTGTACACGGAACAGTTTTTAAATGAAGTGGTTTTATGTTAGTATTAGCTTGGACAGCGAATGTCCAGCTGAAGTTAAACGGTTACAGAAACCCTTACACGTCACAACGTGATTACCACCACCCATCTTAAAACCTGAGATCTAAGTCTCCATTAGGTCACATTAAGGCTGCCCTACCCTTCAAACTAAAACGCATTACTGCCCCGCGGCGGATGTAAAAAAGTATGGTGGTACCTACCCGAGCGGACTCACAAGACACCCATAATTATTTACCAAAATTATAATTTACCCGTTAAATCAATATGTCTAAGGTCCACTAAGTCGGTGACGAGTGGCGCCAGGGTCCTGGCGTCCATGCTGCTGGAACCGGTCACCGCTACGTGCGTTAGATTCCTGAACGTCGCAGCCAGGAGTTGTGCGCTAGCCACCGTCACCTGCAACAACAAAATATATCCTGTCAGTAAAAATGCCGTATTTATCTATATATTAATACGTGAAGCAAAAACTTTTTACCCCTTTTTACGAAAATTGCGCGGACGGAGGAGTATGAAATTTCCCACACTTAGAGAATATAGAGAAGGAGTGCAGAATGTTAATATTTTTTTAAATTATGCAAAAAAAATACATTAAATCAATAAAAAAAACATTACACACACTACCGTGTATTTGACACACACACACGTATGCATACTATTTTTTTATTGTCAAACTTTTCTTAATGAATATAGTCTGTGTTCAAATTGAGAATAGATTAAATATTGTTTGTCTTTAGGTGTAGTCTTGGCGAAGTCTGTGGTTATAGGAGTATAATAATATTTGACAATAGAATCATAAAAGTGTACAAACTTATAATTTCAATTAATTATAGTCGAATTTCGACTACCGAGAGACCGCTAGTTAGTCTTCAATGCGACACTGTTTTACGGTTCAGTTATCAATGACAAAGAAAACTGCACTCAAACATTCGGAGTATTTAAGGTTCGAAGAAGACAGCGGTAGTAATTAGTATTATTGGTAGTAGTAGGTATTTTTACTGGTAGGACGTCTTGTGAGTCCGCACAGGTGGCTACCACTACCCTGCCTATTTCTGCCGTGAAGCAGTAATGCGTTTCGCTTTGAAGGGTAGGGCAGCCGTTGTAACTCTACTGAAACCTTAGAACTTATGTCTCGAAGTGGGTGGCGGCATTTACTTTGTAAATGTCTATGGGCTCCGGTAACACCAGGTGGGGCGTGAGCTAGTCCACTGTAAGCAATAAAAAAAACCAGTGTTGGGTTTGTTAGTGATATGATTTTAATCTCCTCGGGCAGGTACAAGATCTTTGAGAAGCAGTGTCTCTGTTTGCATGTTGTTGTTTTGTTCGGTATTCGCGAGCTGTTCACATAATAAAAACTAGTTACTTCTATGGTTTAATCTTTGTATTTTTCTATATCTATCTAATATATAAAATTCTCGTGTCACAGTTTTCGTTGCCATACTCCTCCGAAACGGCTTGACCGATTTTGATGAAATTTTTTGTGCTTATCCGGTATCTATGAGAATCGGCCAACATCTATTTTTCATCCCCCTAAATGTTAGGAGTAGTCCACCCCTAAATTTTTTTATTTATTTTTTAGACAAATTTTTTAATTTCTATTTTTTTATGATACAACATACAAAAATACATACAATCCTCAATTTTCACCCTTCTACGATCAACCCTTATTTTTTATTTGCTAATTAAAAACTAAATTTTTTTGCAAGAATTTTGTTTTTATTTTGTCATGACTTAGAATTAAAAAAATCATATTACTCTCAATTTTCACTCTTATACGATCAACCNGGCAATAAAAGTGACCATTTTTTTGTTGCAATGTACACTATGCGCGACATTACCCCCACTACACCAAAACCTTGCCAACTTACGTGCCGCTTACTATATTATGTGGTTGAATGAGGTTTGTGAGAATTTTATATATTAGACTAGAATTTCCCTAGAAATCTTATTTAAGGCAACACAACGTTTGCCGGGTCAGCTAGTACTAATATATAAATCTACAGTGGTTTTTACGGATGTTCCGTTATGACTACTGAACCATGCATCCGACTGACTTGAAACTTGGTATCCATGTAGAAAATACATGTACTTAATGGATAGGCTAATATTTATATGAGTGTTGGACTCCCTACACCAGTTGCAGGGGCGTTAATAATGAGAATCTTTGTGGGGTGTGAGAAATAATAATGTTAGTTTTAAATGCCCAGCGAAGCGGACGGGTACAGCTAGTTATTATATATGTATGTGGTGGGAGCATTAAGAAATCGCGTCGACATATCTATCTTTATGGTTTAATATGTATTTTTCGATTTATATGGCGGGAGCATTAAGATATCACGTCGACATGTTTGCAACAACAAAACAGTAAGCGTATTTTTGTCGAGATGATACATTTCACGGAGATGGTTTTGTAAATTTACGTTCAGCAGCTATAATGGACCTCACCGCACAGCTCTTCGCTCGCCACTCTTTGACGGCATTAACGCAGGGTCCGGCTCTGGCACCAGCGCACCGCGCGGCTATCTCCAGAGGACCTGCAGCCCTCACTCTCTTCCAGACCTCGGGTCGCGTCGTCAACCTCGCAACCAAACGCGCCCATCGCCGGCAAACCCGCGCCACCCTGCATAAGTCCGAAACCTGAAATTTTAAACAAATCCTCTTAATAACTCAATGGGGTTTTGATGAAAAACATAATCATAACTTAGAATAAAGCATTCGCAGTTCGCATGAACAAAAATATAGATTTTTTATTTTATGTTTAATCAAATATGGGTGGGACAGCCGTTGTAACTATACTGAGATCTTAGAACTTATATCTCAAGGTGAGTGGCGCATTTACGTTGTAGATGTCTTTTTTTCCTACCTATTCCAGTAACCTCGAGGGGTTATTCTAGATTAACCAAGCTAGTAGGTGAACTCACGGGGCTCAAATCGGGTGTGTTGCTAACATTGGCGCTAGCAAGAGCAGTGCTTCGCAGAATCTACCACCGGATCGTAAACGCTACCCACTGAGAAGATCCGGCGAGAAACTCAGTAGGCTGTGTCTATCTATGGGTTAATTTACTCGTCGAGCCCTTCGTCACAAGCGACGGGTTCGGCGAGGACAGTGACCGGTGCTTGAGGTACCTAAAAGCACCATTAATGGATCGGGAGGATCCGTAATGACGTGTGTAGATGTATATGGGATCCAGTAACCATTTAAGACCAGTTGGGCTGTGAGCTCGGTCACCAATCTAAGCAATAAAAAAAAATCAATAGAACTAACCTCAAGACACGACAATATTTTCAACCATAGCGCATCGTTTAGATTATTGTCCCGCCGTCGTCTTGGCGGTCCACAGTCTGCTAGCGTATGGTAGCCTTGATCGAGGCTCAACTCGCTCAGGTCCGCAGTAAGGGAGAGGGCCGGCTCCGGCGGTGGGGGAGGTCGTCTCCGAGCCCCACCGCAGACCCCGAGGCCGGAACAACTTCCGGTCGACATCCTGAGACCCTGGAAATTATTTGGTAAGTCAACTTAGAATATTTTTTTCCTACCTTAGCTGACGGTCTTGAGAGACCATATCAGATTATACAACAACAAAAAAACCTTAACATTAATCTAGTTAGTTCTAGTTAAACTACTTATTGATTTTGTTGTTAGGAGATCAAACTGTAAAAATGAATCTAATCGTGTCTACCGTACTCGCACCAAACCTACAAAATACTGCGCGAATATATTACAAATATAAGGAATATAAAGCAATTGTAATTGAGCAATTTCGAACTAGATTTAACGGGAATGGTTCCCATCTTCCTCACAACGATTAATGTAATTACAAATTGTGTTTGTTCATTATCGTTGAGATCTCGCGTTGACTTGACAGTGTCAAATGTCCGCTTGTTGACAGGCAATTGTCTAAGGTAATTGTATACCAATTACTCGGAAGCGTGTGTGTATAATGTACCTTTGTCATCTGAGTTTCTTTGTTTATGTTACATTTAGTACGTAACGTTGAAAACAAAAAGCTTTGTCATAATTTAAATTTGATTGACTACGAGAATTGATTTAGACTTTGAAGTGAAACTTCTTTAGGTGCGTTGAGAGGTGGTGCGTTATGGTTAGAGAGAAAAGATACAATTTAGGAAGAGCGAGAGTGAGAAAATAGACAGAGCGTCTCGCGAACCACTCCACCGTGGAGAGAGGGAAAGGACAGAGAGAGGTAGATCGTTTCTCTTATATACACAGCATTCCCTATTACAAGAGAAATTTAATTTAAGGATAAAAAATGAAGAAAATTACAAATACTACATACCGCAAAAGAAGTTTAACTTCTTTCACGTGCACCAAGTTGCACTACAACATTTTTTTTCTGTACTATAGGACGACCGCAACCGATTAGATATTTAGAAAATGTCATTAAGATTGCAACGCAAATGCCTTTAGATTTTAGTAGACTTTAATATACACAGCCCCCTCCTTTTGAACCGGGATGAATGATAGATACAGAGACGATGGTATTAAAAGTATACTTCAGGTAGATACTATCATCGAAAGAACAGAAATATTACAATCCTATTGAGACATTCATTTCGCGATTACCATGGGCTCTGTTAGCCACATAGAACCCGGCGAACCGTGACCTCATTTACGCATGAAACCCATTTTTTTTTTATTACATTTCTTTTTATGCGTAAATGAGTTAATTAAAGCCTCAATCCGATAAAACAGCTGTTCAAACCTTAACCGATGATAAATTCCGAACAAAACATAGTTAATACGGTCGTGACATGTACCACTCAGTGTGCTTAGTGCGAGTTTTTTAACATTCTGGATAGCGTAAAAGTTTTTTTTTTTTCCACAGGAGAAAATCGCCGGATCCCCACCCGCGCGGCAGGTTGGGTATGTGGGAGTTGAACCTCACTAAAAACTCCTGCCGCTCACAACCGGCGCCCAGTCGGGGCTATTGAGACGGCGGGACAGGGTTTAACGCAGAGTACATTACATCCATCCCACCGTCCCACAGCGTAAAAGTTAGCTCATATTTGTATGGAATGGGATTGTTTACGTACATTTGCCCCTAGGGGCGCTATTGCAACTGCATACAAAATTAGGTTAACTTTTACGCTATCGAGAACGTTAAGAAACTCGCACTAAGCACACTGATCTGCAACGTGTCTAGCGCTAGATATATATATAAGACAATTAATTCCAAAAAAAAAAACCAAATTTGTGCAATTCACACGTGGTAGAAGTGAAACCTTCCAAAATTAAAATACAATTATCCTAAACGTCTTAAGTATATGTAAATTTTTTATTTTTCATTAGTAAATAATTGTAAGGTAGCGCCCTCTGTGAATTGATATTTTAATTTCACGTATAATCCTAAATTAAAATTCACTACAAGAGCTTTCATACACACGTTAGTATTAAAAAAATCTCACAGATGGCGCTGTATTAAATAGTATGTATATTTCTGTCTCATTCTTTGCTGGCTTCACCCTACACATTTTTGTATTTGTGTCTCTTACCTGTCGTTTTTTCCGTTGCATCCGGTTTGAAATCACAACGATTCTAAAGAAGTTTTCACTTCAAAAACCACAGAAAAAATCGTTAATATGTACTTCGATACAGAACCAAGTGAGCACAAAGCATTTTATTTAATGTTACACACAGTAAATGTCCTCGCACAAAAACGACAAGTCGTCATATTAACGGATCCCGTGCGAGTTGTAACATCGCCAACATAATTAATGAACTAATAAAATTTTAGCTGCCATTGAATGACGCGCTTTCGTTCCGAGCCTCTAATTATAATGTACAATCGACGACGTAAATCTTAAGGCTCTGAGTCGATTTATTGAGAATAGAGAATAATTAATTATTGAGAATGAATTTGTTGTTTTAGAAATATAATTTCAGTTTCATAGCCTTTCATAGCATTTCATTGTCACTGCCGCGCTTTTGTAGTGCATCCACAATGTTTGCGACATCTCACACCGATGACTTCTTTGCAATAATGCGGAAGAGAAGTGCATCGTTATTGCGTCGAGTTCGTGACAGTGGCAACAGTCTTTTGAGAATCATATCGAGCAAGATCGAGGGACTGCTGATCAATAGCCTTTGCAGTAGGCACTTGGAAGGAGAAAAAATANTGCCGCGCTTTTGTAGTGCATCCACAATGTTTGCGACATCTCACACCGATGACTTCTTTGCAATAATGCGGAAGAGAAGTGCATCGTTATTGCGTCGAGTTCGTGACAGTGGCAACAGTCTTTTGAGAATCATATCGAGCAAGATCGAGGGACTGCTGATCAATAGCCTTTGCAGTAGGCACTTGGAAGGAGAAAAAATATATATATATATATATATATATAATGGTATAAAATGTATATAATGATAGTTATGTGTTAGATTTTTTTTAAAGTTACTAACATAGATTATAAGTAATTATTACTAACAAAATGTTATGGTTTTAAAAAAAAAAAAACTGAAATAAAGTATTAATAATAATAATAATAGCTGTTCATAAATGTTACTGGTGGTAGGACCTCTTGTGAGTCCGCGCGGGTAGGTACCACCACCCTGCCTATTTCTGCCGTGAAGCAGTAATGCGTTTTGGTTTGAAGGGAGGGGCAGCCGTTGTAACTATACTCGAGACCTCAGAACTTATGTCTCAAGATGGGTGACGCATTTACGTTGTATATGTCTATGGGCTCCAGTAACCACTTGACACCAGGTGGGCTGTGGGCACGTCCACTGTCTGAGCAATAAAAAAAAAATCGTATTTCTTGATAAATAAACTGACAATTAAAATATAAATATATATTGTCGTTGTTTCGAAAACAATGTTAAAAGGCTTTTTTTAACAATAAAAATCATACTAAGGCTAAGGATAAAAATTAAAACTCATTTTAATTGTGACAACAATTACGATTGTCCACACAACAATATTATTTTTTTAATTTTATCGCGTTCGCGACTACAAGTAGTGTAATATGTTTATTAATATCTAAATATTCATACAGTAATCCCCTCTATAACGCGGTAGGTTGGTTCCGCGTTGTAGCAGTGTCGCGTAGCGCACTTATACAGGGTGGGCTAGAAAGGCGTGCGAATTTCAAAATCACATTACTCCCGACAGGAAAGCGGGAGCGGGGTGCGGGTAGTGGGGATAGGTTCCTTGGTTCTCGGAAATTCAGTTGCCATAGAGCGTTTTACCGGTGAACAGCGTGCTTTTTGTGTGAAAGCGTATTACAAAAATGGCGATTCGGGCACTATTGCGCGTTAAGGTATAACGCGTTATGTCCAAATATAATAAGTATAATACAATATAATCAAAGCTTTTACAATACAAAACCTAGGAACACAAATTTAATAAATTAATCTATTTTAATTTTATAACAACACAATTATTGACGCAATGTACAAAGATACGCGAAATGAACTATGTACTGTACAAATTATTATGAACAGTACAGAAATGGTACAACGTGTGAAATCCACGCGTTTTATGGAGGAATACCCGTGTTATACGAGAGACGGAAATCGCGTAATATGAAAATGCGGTACAAGAATACCGTGTTATAAGGGTGATTACTGAAGATTACTGTAGTTTACTTCATACTAACGCCATCTAGTTATTAAAATATACACTAGGATAGTAGACCATAGCTTTAATTAAAAAACCATTAAACACTTAACCGCCCTCTCATTCGTTTTATTTGTAAAGCATTCTGAACGTCAAAAATATCATATTGACATTGAAAATAGCAACATTATTAGACGACTGATTTTTTTATTGCTTAGATGGGTGACCGAGTTCATAGCTCACCTGGTGTTAAGTGGTTACTGGAGCCCATAGACATCTACAATGTAAATGCACCACCCACCTTGAGATATAAGTTCTAAGGTCTCAAGTATAGTTACAACGGTTGCCCCACCCTTCAAACCGAAACGCATTACTGCTTCACGGCAGAAATAGGTAGGGTGGTGGTACCTTACCGCGTGGACTCACAAGAGGTCCTACCACCAGTAAATTTATCTATATATTAATACGTGAAGCAAAAACTTTGTATCCCTTTTTACGAAAATTGCGCGGACGGAGGAGTATGAAATTTCCCACACTTATAGAGAATATAGAGAAGAAGTGCACAATGCTAATATTTTTTTTAAAATAATGCATAAAAGATACATTGAATCAATAAAGAAAACATTACACACACTACATACCATGTATTTGACGCACACACGCATGCATACTATTTATTGTCAAACTTTTGTTCTTGACGTCTGTTGTCAAATTGAGAATAGATTAAATATTGTTTGTCTTTGTTAATATTTTTTATAGTGTAGCCTTGGCGAAATTTGTGATTATAGAAGTATAAAATACAATCATAATAGTGTNAATCGATTAAACAACATCCTCAAACACGCATATTGGACATCCCTTTTCTTGACATCGTATAAATTCGGTAATTCTCGGTACGGTTCGGAAAGTTCACCTGCGGCTA